TATGGATGTGAGAGTTGGACTATAAAGAAAGCTGAGCGCTGAAGAATTGATGCTTTTAAACTGTGGTGCTGAAGACTCTTGAGAGTCCCTTGGACTGCAGGGAGATCAAACCAGAAAATCCTAAAGGACATCAGTCCTAAATATTTATTGGAAGGACTGATGCTGAAGCTGAAGCTCCAGTACTTTGGCCACCTGATGCGAAGAACTCACTCATTGGAAAAGACCCTGATGTTGGGAGATTGAATGCAGGAGGAGAAGGGGACAACAGAGGATGAGATGGTTGGATGGCACCACCAACTCAATGTACATGAGTTTGAGCAACCTCCGGGAGATGGTGAAGGACAGGGAAGCCTGGGATGCTGCAGTCCATGGGGTCACAAAAAGTCAGACATGACTGACAGGACAACACCACCTGTCTGTGAGTACCAAGCCCTGGGCACCATGCCATCCTCGCTGGTCTTTCCTGCAATGATGGGTGTTGTGGTGCCCAATAGCCGAAGCTGGAGGCTGGTCCCCACTCTGGAGCTGCCAGCCAGGCACCAGGCAGCGAGGAGACTGCTAGTGCTTAGAGGACTCTGTTTACTTCTTGCTCAGAGCAGACATTTTGGAAAGGCTGGTTTAATGAGTCCCCCTGAGGGCCAAACGACACATTCATCAACCCCAGGGATACCACACTGGTGCAGGGCCAGAGGCCCAGGACTCCTCCCCAGTCTTCTGTGCTTCAGGGGGTGGCTTTGTTTCTCTGGGAATATTTTTCTACAGGGACTTAGAGAGGATGAGACCTTCGCAACCCACATGCCCCAGTGCAGAATATCCCCACTGGGCCCTCCTGCTCATCCCCAGGGCAGCTCCCATAGCCGCAGTGCTAGTTTCCGGTGTTTGCTTGGCTCCTTGTGCCAACTGTGGGCACCCAGAACCCACACCCTCAGCCGATCCCTCGTTGCCCTCTCTGTGCAGATGCTGCATGCGGAGTTGTCAAGTGACAGGGCTCACGGGGGCCTGTGTGCTCATGCCCTTGTGCTGGCATCTCCTGCCTCTACTTCCAAGTAGGCACCCGGAGCTGAGGTAACAGGTGACTGTCCGCAAATGGGACCTCTTGCCTGGACCTTAGATTAGGCAACTGGGTCGCCAGTGACAGTTGAATGCCCTCACCCAAGGAAGGCCACCTCTGCCACTGCCAGAGTAGGTACCAAGGTGTGCCTCAGTGAGGCCCTAAGGACTATTCAGGGATGAGGGGACCAGTGACTGTCCTCACAGGGTCCTCCCCCGCTTCAAGCTTGTGCGCCTTGTAGGCACCTGGAAAGGAGGTGACAGTTGAATGCTCTTAACCAGAACCAGTAATGGAGAAAGGGAAAGATATACTCAATTGAACACAGAGTTCCAAAGAATAGCAAGGAGAGGTAAGAAAGGCTTCTTAAGTGAACAATGCAAAGAAAGTGGAAAACAATAGAATGGGAAAGACTAGAGAGCTCTTAAAAAAATTAGAGACACCAAGGGAACATTTCATGCAAAGATGGGCATGGACCTAACAGAAGCAGAAGATATTAAGAAGAGGTAGCAAGAATACATAGAACTATACAAAAAGGTCTTAATGACCCAGATAGCCACAATGGTGTGACCACTCACCTAGAGCCAGACATCCTTGAGTGTGAGGTCAAGTGGGCCTGAGGAAGCATCATGATGAACAAAGCGAGTGGAGGTGTTGGAATTCCAGTTGAGCTGTTTCAAATCCTAAAAGATGATGCTGTGGAAGTGCTGCACTCAATGTGCCAGTAAATTTGGAAAACTCAGCAGTGGCCACAGGACTGCAAAAGGTCAGTTTTCATTCCAATCCCTAAGAAAGGCAATGCCAAAGAATGCTCAATCCTATCTNGCAGAGACATCACTTTGCCGACGAAAGTCCATATAGTCAAAGCTATGGTTTTTCCAGTAGTCATGTATGGATGTGAGATGGTGCTATGTCACTTTTGTCATGTCTCTTTTCGACCCTATGGACTGTAGCCCACCAGGCTTCTTTGTCCATGGGGATTCTCCAGGCAAGAATACTGGGGTGGGTTGCCATGTGCTCCTCCAGGGGATCTTCCCAACCCAGGGATCAAACCTGTGTCTCTTATGTGTCCTGCATTGGCAGGTTGATTCTTTACCAGTAGTGCCACCTGGGAAGCCTGGGATGTGAGAGTTGAACCATAAAGAAGGCTGAGCACCGAAGAATTGATGCTCTCAAGCTGTGGTGCTGGAGAACACTCTTGAGAGTCCCTTGGACAGCAAGGAGATCAAACCATTCCATCCTAAAGGAAATCAACCCTGAATACTCATTGGAAAGACTGATGCTGAAGCTGAAGCTCCAATACTTTGGCCACCTGATGCAAAGAGCCTTTTCTCATTGGAAAAGACCCTGATGTTGGGAAAGACTGAGGACAGGAGAAGGGGACGACAGAGGATGAGATGGTTGGATGGCATCACCGACTCAATGGACAAGAGTTTGATCAAACTCAGGGAGATGGTGAAGGACAGGGAAGCCTGGTGTACTGCAGTCTATGTGTTCTCAAGGAGCCAGACACGCCTGAGTGAATGAACAACCACCAGAATCTCATGCCTCTTCTGCATTGCAAGCTCCTAGAGCCAAGATTACAGCTACTGTCCCTCTCAGGTCCTTCATCAGCACTGGGCATCCGGTGATAGTCGAGCATCCTTACCAGGGCCCTCTCATCTCTGCCACAGGGTAGCGCCCAGATCTGAGCTATCCACTAACTGCCATGGCCTGGGTCCTCTGTCATGGTGGGGACACTCAAGAGAGGGTCAGATCAGGGGTCCCCACCCCACCCTCCCTGATCCCACGTTGTCATCACATGTTGGGGGCCCAGGAGGAGCTTAATCTCTCCTCCACTTCCAGTTCCTGCCCCTTTGTGGATCCTCCATGCTGTTGTGTCCTCCTCAGTGACGCCATGCTGGAAGGTTTCCCAAGGGGCTTGGGACGACTCTCCCCAGCACTCAACTCTACTGGGTCCCCCAAAGTCTGTAGGTGTCTGTGGAGCTGTGTCAGGGGGTCCTGAGCACAAAGACCCCAACAGGATCAAGAAAAGCTCTTTCGTTTCTTTGCTTTTTCCCCTGAGGGCTTCCCTGGTGGCTCAGATGGTAAAGAATCCGCCTGCAATGCCAGAGACCATGGTTCGATCCCTGGGTGGGGAAGAGCCCCTGGAAGAAGGGAATGGCAACCCACTCCAGTGTTCTGGCCTGGAGAATTCCATGGACAGAGGAGTCTGGTGGGCTACAGTCCACAGGGTCATGAAGAATCAGACATGACTGAGCTACTAAGCACAGCTTCTGGCCTCTGTGGGCACACAGCTGCCCCATAGCGTCCAGGACAGGACAGGACTCTCTGTAGCTATGCAGGAGCCAGAGCATTAGAGAGGAGCAAAGGGATCTCTAGAGGACACCCTCTGTGACTCTTCACTACTCACTGCCCCTTCCTCAGGCTGGCACAGGGAAGAGAACCAAGGCCAGCGTCCCCACCCCAAATGAAGTGTGGCCTCTCGGCCTGTCCACATGGGGCCTTCTCAGCTGCTCCGTGAGGACCTGAAGGCACCATGGGGTCTGGATTCCAGCTGTCCCTGGCTCAGCAAGTCCTTCTGCTCTGTCTAGGTCCACGTGAACCTGGTGGTCTCCCTACACAGCTCAAGTGAGGAGCCACGGTGGACAAACTCTTGCCAACAAACAGCCTGCAGGCCTGGCCCCACGGTCACAGGCCTCCCTGGCCCCGTGACCCCTGATAGCCATGGGGACTCGGGGAGTGGACCTTTCCTGCCCAGGTCTCATGTTGGGCGGCTGGCTTGGTCCTTCCATGAAACATCCTGGCAAACGAGGAGCATCCTATCTGTGTGCTTCAGGTCAGCCACACGTCCCAGAACTCAGGCTCAGGGCAGGGACCACAGGAGCGGCTGCAGCCCCCTTCCTGGTTCTTTGTTGAGGGGACGGGCTGGACAGATGCCCGGGTGGTGGGGCGGCACTGTGTTTGGTGGGCAGGCTCACCTGGCCCCTTGGGACGTGCCCTTGTTCAGCAATGAGGCATGTGCAGAGATAATCCGGCTAGTTGAGATTAAGCTTATCCTGGGGGAGATCGGGCCTGCAGTCCAGGATGACTGGTGTCCTAGTTAAGGGAGAAGCTTATGTGAAGACGGAGCCAGAGGTGGCCAGGCTCAAGGAAGCCAGCAGAGCCCCTGGAGTGTGCCTGCCCTTGGTCTCAGCTGTGTGCCTCTCCGTGGTGTCAGGCTGTTGTGTGCCCTGGACTCGCCTGTCCCCCTTGGTTTCTGCCCCCAAGTCCCTTAGCCACTCCTTCCTAAATACTTTATCGTGGCAGGAGTGGGGGGCGGGTAAAGGAACATGACCTGTTCTCATGCCGCAAGTGGTCTTCTGATAAGATCCTATAGCTCGGTTGGGGCGGGATGTGTGGTCAGGGGCGGAGGTCACCCATGTGCCCACCCAACCCGGTGGCAAGGGAAGTGGGCGTTGGGGCGAGCCGATGCTGGGGACAGGGCAGGTGGACAGGCAGCCGCAGGGTTGCCCTTCCACAGTCGCAGGAGGCAAGAAAGGACCCAGAGCCGGGTGGCTTAATTTTGCTGATTTAATGGCACTTTGCTGCTTTTGCTTTTTTGGTGGCGAGGGTGCCACCTTGGGGCGGGGGGGGGGGG